GGGAAATAATGAAGAAAGAGGTTTACTTTGACTCACAGTTTTGGGCAAAGGAAGAAAATTTACATCTGGTAATGGCCTTCTTGCTGACAGATTGACAGGCAGTTAAAAAGAGACCCAGCCTGAGATAGTCAGTACCAAGAGGATGTGAACTAGGTCTATGATTGAGAGGTGAGGTAAAAGAAACCATGCCCCAAGATGAAGACACCTTGGCTAAGCCCCTCAAGCCTCACAAGAAATAAACAACAGTTCCAAGCTGTACTGTAACCAATAAGCCTGAATAATATGGATGACCAGAACACTCTGACCCTCACTGCTACCTCTTCCAGGAACGCTTTTGCTCTTCTTTATGCTAACAGTTACAGATAAACTAAAGTTAATGATGCCTCTGTATGTACCATTGCTATGTGCCTTGCTTTTCTATTAGATCAATATTAGTTAAGAAATTAGGGGCCAGGGATTTAGTTCTGTGGTGCCGCTGCCCGCCTCGTAAGCGTGAGGTTCTGAGTTCGATCCCCAGTACCAAAAAAAAAAAAGAATTGTACTCATAACTCTATAGGTTGACCAGAAGTAACCTGCAACATGACTTTACTGTATTTAAAAAAAACCCTAGACACAGCACCTCAGCAGCAACCCACTTTCACGGCCCCTCCTGCTGTCAGGAACTCATCTCTTTAATAAAATTCTTCCTAACTTGCCTTCCCCATCCTTGGCTCCATTCTTTGGTGACATGAGACATTAATTTGGCACATTTAGCAGGCTGGGATGCACTTTAACATTTACAACTTAGTATCCATCAAACCAAAAGGCAGAAACAACTGAAATGTCCATTAACTGATGAATAACCAAAAGTGCAAGCTTTTTATAATATTATTCATTCATAAAAATAATTTTCTGATAAATGGTACAATATGAATTAATCTTAGAAATGTCATGAAAAAAGGCAGAAACAAAGAGTTCTGAATTATCTAAAATACCCAGAATATGAAAATTTATAAAATACATTAGCAGTATATAAGGCTTGGGAAACTAGGAGAAATAAGGAGACAAGCTTTCTTTAGAAACTAAAAGAAAATATTCTAGGGTGTTGACTGTGTATAATTTTAAGTGAATGAGGGCTGGGGATTTAGCTCAGTGGTTTCACTGCCTGCTGCACAAGCACAAGGACCCGAGTTCGATCCCCGGTACCAAAAAAAAAAAAAAAAAAAAAATTTTAAGTGAATGCATCAAATGTTAAGTAAATTATATTTTAGTAAAACTGGCACAAAAGATAATTCCTAGTTGACAATAAATGTTCAAAGAATTTGGAGATCTTTTTACAATGCAACTAATAATAAATGAAGGGAGAAAACCAGAAAAAAAAGGAGATAATTGTGAGAGGAAAATGAAAAAAGAAGAGGTATGAGAGCAATAAATGGAAGCAAGGAGGAATAAAAGGAGGGAAAAAACAGAAAAGGGAAGGGACAGAAAAAGAGGAAAAGGAGTAACAAAAAAAAGAAAGAAAATATTGAGTATGGTAGGAAGGACAGTGGAAAGGAAAGAGGACAGATGGATGGAAGAAAAGGTAGAAACACAGAGGCCAATGTGCTCCTATTTTACAACAGCCTGAAAACTTCTAGGTGAGTTTGATGGGGGAAGGCCTTCTTGTCCTTGTCCCTAAGGATAAAATCAACAGGATTGTTGACCTTATATGTCAGACTCTGCAGAGGATTTCCTGTGAGATATTTTAGAATTTGGGCTGAAAATAAGTGACAAAGGAATAGCCAGAGTGCTTGCCGAACACTGAGGTAGATTACACTCATGGAGAAGGCAATCTGCTACACCTCAGAGGGGATCCTGAACATGGCACACATAGTGAAGACATAGGAGAGAACAATGAAGACTAAATAGCTTATGAGACCACATCCATGTTGAGTAGGATTTCTTCTCTGTACAGAGCCCCCTCATGAAGGAAAACAAAGCAGAGAAAATCTTGGATTATTTTAGACTCATACAAGGCAAGTTAGAAAAATACTACCATCACCATAATTGTCATAACTGAACACAACCCAGGATAAATTCACAAGGCAGACAATGTCACAGGGGCTATTATGCACATTGTAACACAGAGTCCGAAAAATAGAGAAATAGTGGGCATAGTCCATAATTGTAAGCAAAGATTGAGTGTAGCAAAAGGTGAAGAACAAGAACATCTGTGGTACAGAAGAAGAGGCACAACAGACTGACTACCATTGATGATGGCACTCAACACAATTTTAGAGGTGGCAAAAGCAGACAAGAAGTACATGGATGTGTGTAGTCTGCACTCACTCCAGGCAGTAACCTGATGAGCAGATTTCTCTGCAGTGTGAACAGATTCATCAGCAGATACAGCAGGGTGGGAACTGGCTAGAGCTGCCATAGAAAAGCCAAGAAACAAAGAAGATAACCTGAGACAAGGTTCAATATTTTCTCAACAAGCATGGCTGTGGTGTCTGCTGAGATACCAGGCCCATAGGAAAAGCCTAGGCCTGTTGGGAGGACTCCTGAGACAGTACGGGGGCGGGCAGTTCTGGGTGAAGTGGGAGTGTTTAGGGCCAAAAGGGCCAGTCAGGACTCTGAAAGCTGATTTGAGGGGAGGAGGCTGGTTCTGAGCTCAGAAGGCCTAGCCCAGAGCTGTCTGGATGGCGGGGGGTGGGGGGTGGGTGTGGTACAGGGGAGGGGTGGACAGGAGAGTAAAGAGACAAACCAAACCACCTAAGTCTAGGAGGGGCAGAGGGAGAGTGGAAGCCTGAGTCTGGCTGAAAGAGCTAGACTGTGAAGTGGAGCCCAGCAAAGCCCTAGGGCTCAGAAGGTAGATAAGTCAGTGCACAGAGACTGAGGTCATGGGAATACAGTGGGTCTGCTCTCTCATAGTTTTAATACTCATTAAAACTATATCAATACAGGGTTGTGCCTGCTCACAAGCACAAGGTACTCAGTTCGATTCCAGGTACTGGAAGAAAAAAAACCCTGTATCAATACAATGAAGCTACATGACATGCAATCAGAATATAAATTATAAATAAATAGCTCTCAAACACTGAACACAAAAACTGCTGAGAAATCTAACTGGTCTTGTTTAAAGACCAGTTTGTAGCCCATTATCAATGAAAACAGAAAAAAATTGTTATTGATAATATTAAAAATCTTGTGTCCCTATGCTGTGTGGATATAGTGAACATTTTAGAGTGGAAACCACATTTTCAAAAATACATTTAATTAGAAGATAGAAGCTGTTTAAAATTTTTGCCAAAACAGTATTTATAAAATCTGCCTCGAGTCAGCTAGATGCCCCAATCTGCTTCCTCACTCAGTCTGTACCATAGTTTTATTGAAGAAAATTCCTCCTCCCATATCACTGTAAAGCGAGGAAGTTACTGATGCGTAGGATATGATCTCACACTAAGCATCTGTATAACCAACTCTAAAAATTATTGTGAACTATATCAAAAAAACTTTAATCTGCAGCATCTCTAAAGAGAAAAGTCATACAAATAAAATTGGAGAAGATGATCTGAATATCAGGAGAATAAGTTACAAACAGATTTGGTGATGCAACATGCTATCAATTCTTTTAATTATATGCTCAAATAAAACTGTATTTTTATTACCAATTAAAAAGCTATAAATTTAACAAACATCTATTAGAATTCCTTCTGAAAACCAAATGACCCTGTTACATTTTTTCAAAAAAGAGGCTATCCTTTCTCATTGTTTGCAACATGCCATACGGATATAGTCACTTAAGCCTGTAACTCAAGGCACCATGAAGACACACTAAAGGTTTGAGAACTATGAAGAAATATATTCACTGTAAACTGACTGATGGTCTCTGGAGTTTACAGCCAGCATAAAAAATGTACATGAAGCTATGGTGTAATCCAGTAGTGATAAGCAGGAGCGTTAAGAGTGGAAAAAAATATGAACCTAAAACAGGGTTATCAAGCATGGCACTAGTGATATTTGGGGCAATATTTCCTTCTATTAAAAGCTGCCCTATGTATTATATGAAACTGATCAACATCTTTGACCTCCACCAACAAAATGGTATAAATCTTGCCTAGACTGTATGTCATGACTGCAACAAAAAAAAAAGCCAAGACACAGATATGAGCTCAGACATGCACAATCACCAATGCCTAAAAACCCCTGACTTACTAGGTAAATATATAAGCTTATGAACGACAAGGTACTCAAGAGAGCTGCCAAATTCCTTACTCTGCACCATAAATACAATCAGAGTGACTCTACCCAAAGTACACTGTGTCTACTTGCACACTCTCTCCTTGTCCTCACCACCTGTACTACACTTCAGATGTCACTGGTGTGACCCAAATAATTAAGGTGGTTATTTTATTTTTTGCAGTTATATATGAAATCCAGTAGTTCACTGCATACCTGGCAAGCTGAATGCTTGGCAAGCTGCATGCTTAGCAAGTACTCCACCATTGAGTCACATAACCAGCAATGTTAAAACTTTTTTGGGGATGCTCATGGCCCTTACAAAAACCTAGCATAAGCCTGGCAATGTGGGGATATACGGGAAATTTATGAATTCACTAACTATAAAAAAGCCAAGGTCTGAGAAAATGAGCTGTGGTATGAGACCTGCATCGCAGATACTTATAAACTTCAGATCCACCAGGTCAGTTGATAGGAGGAATGAGACCAGAGATCTAACTCAGTACAGCTGCACTCAGCTCCAACTCACACCTTCTGAAGCAGTATCTCCTCAAAGCCCCCTGCTCTCCCCAGACTGGTAGAGATGGAGCTTCAGCTGGGGCTGTGAAAGTCCGCATTCTAGGCTGGCAGTGTCGCAGTGGGCACAGAGTCCTGGGAACTCAGAACTGGCCATACCCCAGCAAAGGGAAAAAATGACAGAGGATTATGAAGCACCAAACAGGGGAATTCAGAGTCTGGGGCTAAGCAAGGAGGCTGTATTCTGCCAAAGCTGGTTCTAGTCACTTATATCCAGACCTCACCCCGATTCCATCCTGTTCCCAGACCCTGTTCCACAACGTCACCATTGCGTGGCTTGAGGGTCTCCCAGGGTCTTTCCCATGCAGCCCGCAGCCAGTAGATGTCACAGAAGAAAGCACAGGCTGCTCGGGAGGTCTCAGCAACAAGCTCGGACTTGCACTGTGACGCCATGACACAGGAAGTGTCCGCCCGCTTCAACCCACCTGATTGGATAATTTATACAGCCCGCCCTTTCATCACAGATTGGCTCCCACAGCATGGCCCGCCCTCTGAGCCAAGACTGGCCAGAAAAACAAACCTTTACTTGCATGGGTGGCGCTCAAATGCAAGATTGTAAACCAGAAACTTCTGGATCAAGCTCTCTCCCAACAAGTCTTGTGGGTCTGGGATCTAGGGATCTCCAGATTTACCCTCACCGGGCCTGTAGTCAGAAAAGAACGGTGCAAAGCAAAGTACTTTTATTTCAGGTCTTGCAGGAAGCAGCAAAGTCACTCCTGAGGAGTGGACGCTCAGAGCTGAGTCACTGCTGAATCTCTGGCGTCAGTCCTGTATTACAGGGTAGGGGTCCGTCTCCACCCCCCTTGAAAGTCGACACTATTGGGCTTGCTGCTAGGGGTTTGGTCTTGTGGGCAAATAGAGGAATTTGGGTAGGCATGGCAACCTGCACTCGGAGGGACAGTGTTGCCTGCACAGAGGGAGATGTCAAAACCAGACTGTCAGCTTCAAACCACAAAGCTTTTTGAGAACTGCTTGCTGCTCATACAAACACGGGGGCTGCTTTTTCTACCCTCAAATAGGGCTCAAATCTTTTAACACTCCGCAGGGGTCCCTTCTGACCCTACACACCAGATTGTCAACCTCACCTTGCCTGAGGGATAGTTGCATTTAAGCAGTTTGTTCACGGCTTTTCACAGCTGCCCGTTTTCATAATGGAGTCAGTGGACTCTTCCTGAAAACGGGGTCTTAAATGCCCTCAGAAGGTTTCAGGGTGAACACCTTATGAAAGAATCAATCTCCAGGTGTCAGAAAATAATAAAGCGAGGGCCTTCGGTTTCAGAGGTCAATATTTGAGGCAATAGGGTTTATTGACAAGATTTTCTCACTGTCTCAATCTACTCATTTCACCTGGCATGGTGGTGCACGCCTGTAATTCCAGCACTTGGGAGGCTGAGGCAGGAGGATCGCCATGAGCTCAAGGCTATCCTCGAGCTACATAGTGAGTTCAACGCCAGCCTGAACTGCATAGTGAGACCCTGTCTCAAAACAAAAACCAAAACCAACTCATTTCATCCAAGAAAATGAATATAGGCTGCCAAAAAGAATTCAATTATTGTTTATTTGAAGAAATTATGCTTTTTAAATGATAGCAGTATTCTGCAAAAAAGTAAAGAAAGAAAAGCAAACATTGCAACTCCGTCAGACAAGCTGCATACTTCATCCAAGGTCATTTAAAAAAACCCTGAATTCTGAAGATAAACATATTGACAAGCTTGGGGGACATGAAATGGAGGCCCACACCTGATCCACTGGGTCACTTCCTGGTGAGGAGGAGGAGACACCTGAGGACTTCAGACTGTAAGCTCTCCATGCCCTGTTGTCCCACCCTCACACGTTGAAATTCTCAATATTTTGACACTGGTATTTGTAGAAGGAAAATATAAGCACTCATGTGATGCTATGGTTTACAACTCGGTTGGTTTGACACGTATAGGATAATAGTAAAGCACACTTCTGGGAGTATCTGGGTGACTCATGTGTGACCCAGGGGATCATATGTGCATGACCCCTGTCCCCTTCCTCTCAGGCTCTTTCCCTATTCTCTGGTTTTTGCCTACACCTGTGTCTTCAAGAGTTTTACCTATTCTATCTTTGAGCAGATTAAATGTTTGTTTTTATATTTAGATCTTTGATCCATTTTGATTTTAGTTTAGTGCATGGTAATATATATGGGTCTAGGTTCAACTTTTGGCACATGGAAAGCCAGTTTTCCAAGCTCCATTTATTAAAGAGGCTTTTGCCCAGTGAAGGTGTTTGGCCCCTTTGTCAAAGATAAGGGAACTGAGTGTGTTTGGAGTTGGGTCTGTATCTTCTATTCTGTTCCACTGATCCTCCTGTCTGCTTTTTTTTTTTTTTTTTTGCCAGTATCATCCTGTTTTTATTATGGTAGCTTGGTAGTATAATATCAAACTGGAGATTGTGATGATGACCCCTGCTGTACCTTTACTCCTGAGAACTGCTTTTGCTATTCTAGGTCTTCTCTAGTTCCATATGAATATTAGGATTGTTTTCTCTAGTTCTGTGAGGTATACCATTGGTATTTTGATTGAGATTGCATTAAATGTGTACAACAGTTCTGAAGTATAACCATTTTCACTATATTGCTTCTGCCTATCCAAGAATAGAAGATATCATTCCATTTTGATATTTTTATCGATCTCCTTTTTTCCAGAGAACTGTAGTTTTCAATATATATAGGTCTTCCACCTCCTTTGTTAGATTGATTCTTAAGTATTTCATCTTTCTTGATGCTATTGTTAAAGGTGTTGCTTAGGTAATTTCTCTCTCCGTGAGTTTATGTGTACAGGTATGCTAATGAGTTTTGAGTGTTGATCTGTATCTTGCTATACTGCCAAATTTGGTTATTAAGTCTAGAAGTCTTTTGGTGGAGTTTTCAATGTAGAGAATCATGTCATCAGCAAATAATGATTATTTAACTTCTTACTTTCCCATCCTTATTCCTTTTATTTCTTTGTCTTGTCTAATTGCTCTGGGTAGTATTTCCAGAACTATATTAAACAGGAATTGTGATAGTGGTTATCCTTACCTTGTCTTTGATTTTAAAGTGAAAGCTTTCAGTTTTTGACCATTTAGTATGATGTAGGCTGTTGGTTTGTCATAGATGACTTTTATCAGATTGAGATAAAGACTTTCTATCCCAATTTTCTGTAGTTTTTTTTTTTTTAATCATGAATAGGTGGTGTACTTTCTCTAATTGCTGAACCATCCCTGCATCCCTGGGATGAATCCTAGTTGGCTGTGGTGTATAATCTTCGTCATGATGTGCTGCATTTTATTTGCCAGTTTCTTATTGAGAATTTTTGTATCTATGTTCATTAAGAAGATTGGCTTCTGGCTCTCTTTTTTGTTTGGATTCTTCTCTGGTTTTGGTGTCAGTAATACTTGCTTCCAGGAATGATTTTGAGAGTACTGCTTCTCTTTCAATTTAATTAAAATGTTTGAGGGGTAGTGATATTACATCTTTGCTAAATAAAGCTCTTGTAGAACTCAGCAGTGAATCTGCCAGGACCTGAGCTTTTTTTTGTAGGTAGTTTTTTTCTTCTTCAATTTCAATGACTGATACTAGGTTATCTGGAATTTTTATTATCTTCTTGATTCAGCTTTGGTAATTCATTTGTGTCTAGGAATCTGCCTATTTCTTCTGAGTTTTCCATCTTATTAAAGTATAGGTTCTCAAAGTAGGTATTGATGATCTTCTGGATTTCTGCAGGACTCATTATGATTTCACTCTTTTCATTCCTAATTGCATGGATTTGTGTATTTTCTTTCCTTTTTCAATAAGGTTGGCTAAGAATTTGTCTATTTTATTTAATCTTTCAAAGAACTAAGTCTTAAATTCATTGATTCTTTGTATTGTTTTCTTAGTCTCAATTGCATTAATTTTTGCTCTGATCTTTATAATTTCCTGCCTTGTACACACTGTTGGTTTAACTTGCTCTATTTTTTTCTAGAAGCTTGAGGTTCAACATTAGGTTATTTTATTTGTGCTCACTTTGCCTTTATGATATGGGATTTCACCATTATATATTTACCTCATAGGACTGCTTTGATTGCATCCCATTATAAGTGTCAGTATATTGTACTGACATTATCATTTAATTGTAGAAACTAATTTCTTCATTAATTTCATGTGACCCATTGGTGTTCAGGAGGGTGTTATTTAATTTCCATGTGTTTATGTAGTTTTTGTTTGGCATTGATTTCCAATTTCATTGCACTATGATCTGCTAATATGCATGGGATAATCTCAATTCCTTTGAATTTAAGTATGTTTTATGAGACAGTATGTAGTCTAATTTGGAAAAAGTCCTGTGTGCTGCTGGGAAGAATGTTTATTCTGTTGTTGTTTGTAGAACACTATAGATATCTACCAAGTGCATTTGTTCAAAGGTTTGGTTCAGCTCTGATATTTGTTGATTTTTTGCCTAGTTGATCTGTTTAATTTTGACAGAGGGATGTTGAGGTACCCTACTATAATTGTACCAGTGCTTATCCGAGTTTTTTATATTAGTGTTTGTTTTACATAATTGGGTGTGCCAGTATTTGCTACATATATATTTCTAACTGTTATCATTTCTTCTTGAATTGTTCTTTTAATAAGTATGTAGTGTCTCTTCCAATTGGTCTCAGCCTGAAATCCACTTTGTCTGCAAACATAATAGCTACTTCTGTTTTTTCTTGGGTTCCTGTCACATAAAGCATTGTTTTCTATCCTTTGATTTTCAGTCTATGCATTTCTTTTTGAATTAAACATTTCTTGAATGCAGCATATTGAGGGATCTTGTTTCCTGATCCATTCTGCCAATCTGTTTCTTTTGATTGGTGAGTTTAAATCACTCACTTTGGAGATTATAACTGATATGTACTGACTTATCCTTATGTCATTTTCCTGTTGTTGGTCCCTTTCTTTCCCTTTTATTTAATTGCTTCCCTTGCCTGGCAGATTCATTCTGTTGGGATTCTGGGAATTGTCTTCGTTGTCTTTTTCTAGGATGTCCTTCAGAACTTTCTGGAGTGGTGGTTTGGTGGTCATGAATTTTTTCAGGTGTTCTTTATCATGGAAATATATTATTTTCCCATCAATTTTGTAAGATAATTTTGTGGAGTAAGTACATCAATGCAGGTTAGAGGTGTTTTTCTTTTAGGGCTTGAAGTACTTTATTCCAAGTTTTCCTCAGCTTAAGGGTTTGAGTCGAGAAGTCTGTTGTGACACTGATAGGTCTTCCTTTATAGTTGATTTTTTTTTCTCTAACAGGTTTTAAGATTCTGTTTTTATGTTGAATTTCTGGTGTCTTGACTATTATATGCCTTGGTGTAGTTTTTTCCTGATCATGAATATGTGGAGTTCTATATGCTTCACTTATCTGTATCTCGTGTTCTTTTTTCCGTGCTTGG